CACTTTCAGATAACATGTTGAAAAAAGGCCCCAAAAACACAAACATAGAATTTATTCTAAAATCTTTATTCTTAACTCATGAATCATAATGAAGAAGATCATATGGAAAATAGATTGCCAAGGAGATAACCCTGAAAACAGAATTAAATATGCTATAATTTTCAAATGGATTTTTGGGTGGAGCTACAATTGAATGTTCTAGAATTTTGTGTAGTTGCAATGTAACTTCTGCTATCACATCATATGTGCCTTCAGTTCAAACCATCAACCGTGCAAGATCATAACCGCATAGAGGTAACTTGAATAACATGAAGAAAGCTAATAAAAAATGCATGATGATTAAGAACACAACGATTTGAAGGTACCACAAGGCCTTCGCTAGGGAAACAAATGTAGTCGAAAACGATAGGAGGAATCTTGAACTCACTTTGGATCATCGTCTGTATCTTCGTTTCTTCCTTCACTTTGTAACTTAAGGTTCAAACATAATGACTTATTAAGGATTCTTTATTGAGTAATTCAATTTGACACTTCAACCATTCCAAACGAATTAAAAACCCCAAGTTAACTTTTGATTGTTGCCCAAAAATCAGATAAGTTGAGTCCATCAGAACGAACACCCCACCGTAGTGGAATCTTGATGTGTTTACTTGACCTAAACCCCCTAACATGTCAAGCCTCATTTTGATGTCTTCATGACTCATATGTGATCAGAAAATAAGAATCTAAAGATGAAAAGCATGGAACGAAAATGATATAATACCCAAAACCAATCATATTACATGTGCAATCGAAAGAAATATAGTGCATATTAGATTACGCGTCTTCACAATTTGAGATCGAACAACCAAAAATCAATAAAAATATAAATCATATCACAAAACCTGCACAATATATTAAATTATGGTTTTTGAAGAAAGATGGCGTGATTTAGAGAGGAAGAAAGAGAAACACCTAAAGATTTCAATTGAGAGTTAGTAAGATTATGGTCAAAGATCTTTAAATCAATCGTTGCTGATTTTATGGGATTGAATGAATTACATTAAATTCTAATTTCCATTCAATTCAAATCAAAATGGGAATAAGAGAGATGGGATAAGATTTTAGCAAATAAGCGGAAAAACATTTTTAGATTGCTGTGAAGGTGACATGTGGCAAAACTAAAGGTTTAGAAAGAGGACATGTGACACGGGATAGGAAGAGAGATTCTTATTTGTTATGTATTTATTTGAAAAGGGAAACGAAGACAAAGGGTGACAGTTATTCCGTTAAAAAGAAAAATTGTGGTGTCCTATGTACGTCCTACCTTTTCAACTCCAACGAAAACGCGGCTGCTTGTTTTCCAATCCCATGCCTAAAATTAGAAACTCATGGAAACAACGAAATTTCACAACCCCACGCTCGTAAACCCTAATTTTTTCTTTTCTTTTCTTTCATTCACCTCATAACTGTTAGGATCGAGACACTTAACACACGACTCTAAACACACACACAGCTCACGAAAAACAAGAACACAAGGATGAACACGAGGGATTTAACGTGGTTCGGTCCTTCTCTGACCTACGTCCACCGGTAACTAGGAGTTTATATTTCTTGGTGCTAATCTGCACTCACTCTTTGTTGCTTTAGATACAAGTTTTACAAATACAAATGAATCTCTTATATAGAGATGGAAATCAGAAGTAGTCAAAAAACACAACCGGGTCTTCAGCCAACCTTTGAAAAAACTTCACATTCAACAATTGTGGCTTCACATTCAACAATCTCCCACTTGAAGCCACGGAACAATCTTCACCTGTGCTTCAACTGTGCATCTGTATTTTAAAAAAATTGATCTTAACTCCTTCCTAGTTACCCGGCCTTCTCTTCAATTTACCTGTTCTCTGTCTCTACCGGCTCCCACTGAAATGAACTGCCCGATCCTGGAACATCCTGAGAATAAACGACACTCTCCATGTGAAGCAGATAATCTGGAGAGACTTTTACAGATGGAATACTGGTTCTCTTAACCCACTGTGTTCTGGGTATTCTAGCTGAAACAAAGCCCATGCTCCCACTGCTATGAATGCCCTTGACTGGTTTTTCTGAACCGTTCCAAACACGTTCAACCTGAATCTGACCTGTGACTCTGGGTTTGCCATCTGCAAAGCAAACCTTCTTCTGTCCACGAGACTCTATGAACCAGATTTTGTTTTTCTTCTGAACTGGGACGGTTACTCCCTCAGACGGTAAACTGACCATATATAATGAACCCCTCTTATGTCCACGAGCTATCACAAGATTTCCTTTGACAACCTTCCACTGCCCATTCCTGAACTTAACCTCGTGTCCCTGTTCATCCAACTGCCCAACAGAAATCAACTGTTTCTTCAGACTTGGAATTACCCGGACATCCTTCAAAGTCCATGGACCGACTGGAGTCTTCAGATCTAAGTCACCTATGCTCGTCACATCAAGAACCTCATCGTTCGCCAGTCTTACCTTACCAAAATCCCCTTCTTTCAGATTTCGCAGTGCTTCACGGATGTGGGTAGCGTGAAATGAAGCACCCGAATCCATAACCCAGGAATCCACATTGCTCTCCACACTACAGATCAAAACATCATCATCTGAATGGTCTACTGCAACGTTAACTTCTTTCTTGTCTTTTGGACATTGATTCCTGAAATGTCCAACCTCTTTACAGTTCCAACAAGTCACATCATTTCGAGTCCTCGACTGACTCCTTCTCCTGTTCCCGCTCCCACTACCTCTGTTATTTCTTCTACCTCTGACCGCATTCAATTGTTCACTTGATGATTCCCCGGAATTTCTTCGTTTGACGTCTTCGCCTAGAATTAAATCCCGAATTCCCTCAAAAGTGAGCTCTTTCGATCCTGCGGAACTAGTAACGGCTGTAACTGTTCCGGACCAACTGTCAGGTAATGATGATAACAGTAGTAAAGCTTGAACTTCGTCCTCAAATTTTATTCCCACTGACCCAAGTTTGGATAAAATCGAGTTCAAATTGTTGATGTGTACTGTAACTGAACTTCCTTCCCTCATCCTCGTGTTGACTAGTTCCCGAATCAGGAAGACTTTATTTACTGCCGACGGCTTCTCGTACATATTAGACAATGCCTCCACGATTCCCTTTGCCGAGGTCTCCTTCAAAATATTGAAGGCAACATCCTTTGACAACGTCAGTCTAATAAATGCCTTGGCCTTCTTATCCAAAGTCTCCCAGTTTGCCTGTGTCATCGCCTCCGGTTTTTCACCTAAAACTGTGTCCAAGTCTTTCTGTACGAGCAAATCTTCAATTTGCATTTTCCACCAACCAAAATCTTTCCCATCAAACTTCTCAATCTGAAGCTTATTGTTTTCTACCATTTTCTGAAAGAACAATGACCTATCTTGCAATTTTCTAGAAATTCAGGGGCCAAATTGCAAATTTTCAAATCTGCTACAGTGTTGCTACAGTGTCTGCTGACGTCGTGCTACAGTTCCTGCTACAGTGTCGTCTTCTCCGGCGAAACTGGTTTTTCCGGTAACTATTCCGGCAACCTTTGACCCGCGATTTGGACGTCTTCCGGTGGTCAAAAAATTTAGAAAAAAATATTTTCGGAATCTTCGGAACGAGACCTTTCCAACGGTATACACCAAAATCGTTTTTGACGAAAAACAATTTCGACCAAAAAACAGAAATTCACCCTCTGGAGCTAAACCAAGGCTCTGATACCACTTGTTAGGATCGAGACACTTAACACACGACTCTAAACACACACAGCTCACGAAAAACAAGAACACAAGGATGAACACGAGGGATTTAACGTGGTTCGGTCCTTCTCTGACATACGTCCACCGGTAACTAGGAGTTTATATTTCTTGGTGCTAATCTGCACTCACTCTTTGTTGCTTTAGATACAAGTTTTACAAATACAAATGAATCTCTTATATAGAGATGGAAATCAGAAGTAGTCAAAAAACACAACCAGATCTTCAGCCAACCTTTGAAAAAACTTCAGATTCAACAATTGTCGCTTCACATTCAACAATAACACTCTTTCACCCTAAATTCGTCAAATATACTCTCACTTCTTGAAATTATTGACAACCAAGAAGAAAGGGGAAAAGATTGCTCAATCTTTTCAAGAGAAAGTTGTCAGTTTTTTTGTTATTTTTGCTAATGCTAATCTGTCGACCTATCTTTCGTGATCAAGTTACCTAAAAGACCTACAGCATTTGGGAATGGATTTGGTTTTGAAGAAAGGGAATGAGAAAAAGAGGAGTCTAGTCAGTTCCCAGAGTGGGGTCATGAACGATGAGAGAAAGAGAAGGAAGCAAGAACATGAGGTGCTTGAACAGAGCAAGTATGGCGATGGAATGGCCTGGTTTAGAGGTTGTTTGATTGGTAAAGGGTGTTTTGGGTCGGTATTTCTTGCAAATTTGAAGAAACCCAAATCGAGATACAGTTCTTACCCACCAATTATGGCTGTGAAATCGGCTGAGGTCTCTGTTTCGTCTTCAATTCAAAACGACAGAGAGGTTTTGAATAATCTGAGAGGGTGTCGTAATGTGATCAGATGTTTTGGGGAAGAGATTACAACCGGAGAGAATGGACAAATGGTGTACAATTTGCTTCTGGAGTATGGCTCCGGAGGAACCCTAGCTGATCTAATCAAAAAATCCGGTCAAAATGGGTTGCTTGAATCGGATGTCAAACGTCATACTAGGTCAATTCTTCATGGATTACGTCATATACATCATAACGGGTATGTCCACTGCGATTTAAAACCTGAAAATATTCTACTCGTCGGTAGTTCTTCTAATGGTGGTTTCATGGCTAAAATTGGCGATCTGGGGTTAGCAAAAAAGGCTAAACAGAGCAAGAAAAGCAAAGTTGTCTGTTATCAGAGAGGCACGACGAATCACCTTCAATTCCGAGCAGTATATCAAGAGAAGGGAGAAGTTTCTTGAAGAGTTGTTTCTCGAGGAAAGCTTGTTTTAGATGGACGGCTGAGATGCTGTTAGCTCATCCATTTCTGGAAGGAGTCGGTGATGATAATGAAGAAGATGATGATACAGTTGAAGAGTTGGGTGAAGTTTTGGACATAAATGCCATTTGTTCATCTGTCATTTCTGAAAACGATGATGATGATGATGATGAGATGAGTATGTTGTCGTTTTCAGATGAGTTGAGTTATTTTTCTGAAGATGAACTCCATTGTTGGTCTGAAGAAGATGTTTCTTGCTTTTCTGTAGAAGAAAATGGTACCACTGTACCATTGAATGAAGTACATCAATACCCTATTACATTTACCATTTCTTCAGGAGTTTAGCTTAGTAAGTATATGTTCATGAGCTGTTAAGTTATATCATACTTCTGTTCCATAGCCATACTTGAGATATAGATTAAACTAAGCTTAATTTCCTTGTGGAATCGTATATTTAGTGGAAATTTGATTTATTCTTTATGTTGTCTGATAAGTGCATCAAGATGTGGGAATCAGGATCTTGTGTTTGTTTCCTTTTGTCATTTAAACAAAGCTGGTTACTTTATGAGTTTATGTTAAAGATTCGTCCTTATAAAGCATCCTCTGTTATAGGTTAAATACGTATCTTATTAGATTAGATGATTACTTTGCATGTTCTTGGAGTTTTGGTGTGAAAAACTGGTGATGGTTTCAATGATCTTGTGTATAATTTGTTAAATTCAGGTATCTAAAGCATACGTATTGCAATCATGAATCAAAATTATTAGTTATAATATTTTTTTAATATAGTGATCACGATATGAGCATATGACATTTATTATATTATTGCAACTATAGTTTAAAGAAAGATCTATGATGCATAATGTGAACATTTTAAAATTGTATTATGTATACTGAACTATAGATTAATATTGTTTTTAAGGGGAAACATGCAACCAATTGTAGGTTGAAGCTTGAAGGATATTTTTTGAACGGCCGTAAAAATTATTAACAAAAAAAAAAGATAAATAGCAACAACCTATTAAATTACAATAAGAAAGTAAAATAAAAAATTACAAAGACGACTCATCTAAAGTGTACAACATCAATTGGTCTAATTTAATCAAGTACGGTTTTTATTCTATAAGACATCTAAAAGAAAGATTGAGAGCGCAATTAAGCACAGGTTCTTGTTAATAGGCTTGTTGCCAAAAACCTTGTGAAGGCGGCCAAAAACCTTGTGAATGCGGCCGCATAAAAAGCTTTGAGGGACTTACCGGACAAACACAAAGCTTGACCCCATTAGTGTTGCCATATTGCGGAGTAAAGAAAGCCAGAACGGAAAGGAGAGAAGCAACACGGCCCACAACCAACCCTTAACGGAGAGTAGAAAGCAAAGGACGGGTATACCGGGTCAGCTGGGCAAAAGGCATCAACCTATCAAGAGCATGTGGTAGGAAACTTGGCGAAAGTCATTAACGTCGTTTCACGATAAATAAAATGAAGGCAATTATGAGAAACTAAGAATATATTTATTCTTATTTAAATAATGTAGCTCGGTCGACTACATCTTTTTAAAGGTCGAAGTTCAAAACTCCAACCTAGGTTACCTCCTTAGCCTAAGAATATTTTTATTCTTATTTAAATAATGTAGCTCCGACTACATCTTTTTAAAGGTCGAAGTTCAAAACTCCGACCTAGACTACCTACTTAGCCTAAGAATATCTTTATTCGTATTTAAATAATGTAGCTCGTTTAGCCGACTCCAACTTTCTAAAGGCCGAAGTTTAAAACTCCGACCTAGGCTACCTACTTAGCCTAAGAATATCTTTATTCTTATTAAATAATGTAGCTCGGTCAGCCAACTACATCTCTCCAAAGGTCGAAATTCAAAAATACGACCTAGGCTACCTACTTAGCCTAAGAATATCTTTATTCTTATTAAATAATGTAGCTCGGTCAGCCGATTACATCTTTCTAAAAGTCGAAGTTTAACACTTCGACTTCGGTTACTTGATTATCAAAAGAATATCCTTATTCCTCCTAAATAAAGTAGCTTGCTCAACCAACTACATCTTTCTAGAGGATGAAGCCAAAAACCACGACCTAAGTTACCTGCTTAGACTAAGAGCTTACATCTTCCCAAAACACAATAAGGAAACGGCACGCGCGTCATAACAACAAAAAAAGGGGGACACGGTTGACATCCTTTCAAAGTATTAGTTACTCCACAAAATTAACAAGAACAAAAGAACGATCATACGACTAAAACACTACCAATTTGATGCAACAAGGTCTAACACAAGGAACAAATTGTCACCAAACAACATAAAGTATCAATATCTAGAGTCAGAAATCTCGACATCAGATGAAAGATAAATAAAAGCAAATTGTACGATTCATGGAAACAAGAGAAATTATAAGCAACATCACTCCATCATTCAAGACCTACCAGCACCCGCACCAAAACTGCTTGTAGACATCATGTTGTTAGTTGGGACCACCAATGCATGTAACTGCTCAACATCCGACAAAGGAAAACCAAATTCATCCAAATAATCACAACAAAATAAAGCAGAGAACGCTTCCTCCATTTTCTGCAAACGAGTAGGATCATACAACAGAATGTCAGTCTCGCTCAGTCCTAAGTTATGCTCTGTGTTCATCATCTCACAACCAGTTCCAAACACTTTGAAGATCACGGTTAGCTTCAAAAAAGGATGACTCAGCAATGAGTTTATCCACCAACTTCACGATTCCACGTGATAATACCCAAGACATATCCTCATCGGATTTGTGTACCCTACTCTCCAGTCCAACTACACTTGCCTGTAAATCTGTGTTTCGAATAACAGAGTCATTCAATCAACCTTTAACTTTTTCACGCCATGCTCCAACATAGCTATTTTGTCCACCAAACCAACCTTTTCTAGTTCAAGGGATGCCACTGTAGCCTTTAGTGTCGTAACTTCATCCTGATAACCAGCTAGCCTATTCTCCAAAGCAAACTTGTCATTTTGCACAATGGATAGTTCACCCCTTACCTTTTCCATCTCGGCTTTAGAAACCATATCAGCACCAGGAGAAACCTTTTTTAACTTGACAACCCTATCTATAAGTGATAACGTCTATTTTATGCATATATTTATGATGTTTTATTATTATTTTATACTATGTTTTTATGTTATTTGGAACTAAAAGATACTTAATATGCTTTGAAATGTTCAACTACAGTTAAAATGGGAGCTAGAATGCAAAAGGAGAAGAAATGAGCTAAAAAGACGCAAAAAGGATGTCGTTGGACAGCTTGACCCCTCGCCAGTGTTTTGGCCATATCTCGTGACTCGTAACTCCGATTGACAAAATTCAAAACGTTCTAAAAACTATACATAATATCGGACGACTTTTGTGTTTTGAGAAAATGTTAATTCCCACTCACCACGACGTGTTAAATGGAATCTTCGCGATCGTTAAGCTAACTTTGAGAATACGAGATTTCGACGAGGACCACGACGTGGTGGCGGTCAACCACGACGTAGTGAACAATTATAAGCTATAAATAGAGCCAAAAATTACCCCTAATGATATATCTTCAACCCTAATTCATTCCTTATGATTATAAACCCCAGAAGAGACGTTTTCAGGGTCTAGAAGGCGGCTGGATGGCCATAAAGCTGATATGGAGCAAAGATATGAAGGATTTTAGAGCGGATAAGCCAGAAATCATTTGGTTTGTTGTTCTGATCATGAGTAGCATTCCAATGTGATTCAATATGTGTTCACTTTCTGATTTGGGTGTTAAAACCCTTTGCTTTGTGTTTATGATTTGATGAATTCTTGAGATTATGGATTAATTGCTACTTGGATGGTTTATTCTTATTTAATTTATTTTGTAAAGTTTGATTGCAAGATCCACATGTGTTAAAGATTATTACTTTATTCCCTCTTCTTGAATTAATAGAGTTTAGATGATCATTGTGATTGTGTTAATTTGAATCATAGTTGTCCATGATCATTGGTAATTATGACTATAGTTGGATCAAAACCTAGGGTTAGGAAATAAAGTGATGAACTTTAATGTGTGTGCACGAGTAGATGATCATTCTATACATGAATTAATTCCTATGATCATTAGGATTAATAAAGATCAAATACTGCTTAATACGAATTCAACAATGAATTTATGGATAATTAATGGCATAACAATGAAATTAAGAGTCTTTTGATTCATTAGGATTAGTAGTCTGATCATGATTGTAACGTCCTGATGTTGAGATAATTCCAAATTTTAACCCTAAGTATGATGAGTATTGCATTTTAGCCCCTGTGTATTGCATTTTACACCCTTATACTATATGTAAAATTAAAAGTTTAATATTTACTATATGTATAAGACAAGTCAGTCGAACTGCTAGTACGCCTCATTCACGAAGTCGATCTATAAGGGGGGTATAAGGAAACTGGCTATAAAATGACGATTGAATGGGTGTCCATTCTCAGCCACCGCTTCCTTGATTGGTGGAGGGTCGTTAACCGAACGAGTTTGATAGGACACTTAATTCTCATTAATAAGTATAATGGAATAGTAACTAAATGTTTTTATTAAATTCCCAATCTTGGTTACTTTAGGAAGAATGTGAAATTGATGCCATCCCATGAAATTGCACATTGCACTTTATATAAGTCGTTAGTGGAGCGTGTGTGGTTAACTGACACACTAATATGGACTAATAAAGGGTGGCAATGAGCGTCTCATAAATTATCATTGATTAATGGAGTGTGTGTGGCTAACCGGCACATTAATTAGTTGATAAATGACATTGAGAGTGCGAAGTTAATTTGCATGGCTATTCACACCTTATTTGTGATCATCGGTATCCCGGTCACAAATGGAAATGGCATAATCGAGATTAAACATGCCATTGAATAGTTTAATGAATCTCAAATGATCTAGGAATTTCATTTAAAACCTAATTCATTTAAATTTCGTTTCTCGTGGTGAAATTGGTAAATCGTCATTTACCTACATTTAAATAATTTACAATTAGATTACGGCATCCCTCTTCTGAATTGTGAATTATTTAGTTGGATCCTAGCCTTAATATTACATTTGGGTGTTATATTAAGGATTTTCTTATCTAATCAAAACTTGTCCTTCTTTTTCAGATGTCAACTTCCAATAATGCTTTTGGTTCCTCTAACAACAACAAATCCTCCAACCACTTCTCGCTCTTGAGCATCTGCTCAAAAGTCACTTTTGATCGCTCCAATTATAATGATTGGATGCGTACCATCAAGATGGCTTTGCGCTTCGAGGATAAGGAATATGTACTTGGAAAAGAGCTGAATGAGATTGATGAAACAAA